TGTATATGTACTGGAGGAGTAAAATGATACTGAATGAAATGGTCTGTGGAAATATAAAAAACATAAACCATCCATCATCCAGAAGAAAAAATGGAATACACTGATCTACTACTGATGTCTTCTTTCAGCTTTGATCTAAAGATGTATTTTATTAAAACTATAATTTAAATGTACCATGACAAATATGCAGTAAAATTTAGCTCTTTTCTAAGCTAGAATAGGTTTTTGTCTTACAATTACTGTGCTATATAGTTTTTGTTGTAAAAATTCCAATTGTGTGCTGCTTTTTTTTCAACGTTTTGGTTTTAGTTCTGCAAGAGGGATAGCTGATACTGTTTTAGAAACACATATACATCATTAACAGTTAATTCCTAAAATTCAGATGTAAATTATGCTTTATTTCTCTGAAGATATCAAACAAATAACACCTCTCCTTCTTTAAATATTATCTAAACTAGTTTTAACCTGTATAATGTCCTTTAAAAAAACAGAGCATTTAACCAGCAAAAAAAAAGGAAGAAACAGATCCATTTGTTAAATTCACTTTGTTGTACCTAATGGATCAATAAGGAGAAAAGGAACTGCATATTTCATAATATTAATAAGCATTATCTTAATATAATGTTAATAGCAAATGTCTCGTAATTCTGTCCTGAAACCCGGCATGATATTCGAGACATAAAAATTCATTCTCATGATTCCACTGGGAATTACATCTGTGCTAATTTTTTTCAAAAAAGATCAGTAATATTCATAACATGTTGAAAGCAAATTTCTCAACTGTTTGCATCTGTATCAGCTGCCTCTTATTTCACATTGATTAAGACAATTATCTGTCTAAAGAATGCAAATTCTTTTCATATTAATGGGAGTGAATTTTATACAAACTATTTTCCAGGACACTGCCCATACTTAGAACATGTAAAACTCTTGGTCTCCTACAACAACTTATAAAATAAGATAAAAGATTATTAACTAAGGTCTTGCCTTCTTCATTTTCTTAAAATGATTCCTTGAGAATCACTGACTTCAAGATGTAAAAAACTGTCAGCATTACAACAGTTTCTTTTGTATTACACTCACCTTGCCAGGAATCCTTCCCCAGATCCTTGATCACACATAAAAATGCAAAAGAAACATCCTATTGCTGATGAAAGCAGCATTGAAATTCTAACTCTGTCTTGGAATTCTAATTAACACAGCATTACTTTCTCACCTCAGACTAGTTAATTTTAAAAATTCCCTATCTACTGAAATATTTCACAGATGGAAGCTCATGTTAGTTTTAATGATTACTTTGAATAAACCATTTGTTGATATTTGTTTCAAATGAAAGCCTAAAAATATTCTACATTCAACTTCAGGCTCCATTGATTAATACAGTATTACTTTTAGAAGTACATCCTCAAATGCTTGCTGAATTTTAAATTATTTGGACACACTCATGTTGAGGAAAAAGAGTTTGAAATTCAAAGAACAAAGAAAATTCCAAAATTAGGCCATTGTTTTATTTTTATAAAATATCTTAATTGTACTAAAATTTGATGTTGCATTTCATTGTAAATTTGCAACTAAAACAAATTTATTTGCAATAATAGAAGTATTTTATTTCTTATTAGTCTTAAAAATTAAAGGATTTGAAGGGATATTGTATCATAACTTCAAGATGTCTTCCAATATCTGAATGCGTTCACTTTAGCATTATGAAATACCCATAGAGAGAAAGTCTAGACTTCAATTAAAAGAAACAAAAACTAACAAACCTATGGCATGTCTTTATAAACTATCAGGTCTAAGTTTTCGAAGAAAATTATAGATATAATTTCTAAGTAAATAACACATTATATCATAATCTTCTGCCAAAATATATTGAGAGGAGATAGGTTGCATGAAAAATAACGTCCTATTTTATTTAATTTTAAGAGACTTTGGCATATGCATGTATCATCAGAGTTGAAACTATGTTAAGAGACTCATGTGACCTTAAGCAAATCATGACAGCAATCTTAAGGTAAGAAAAAGGTACATCATGGCAGAGAAATTATGGCCCAGTTAAAATCAAATGTAAAATGTAGATGCATGTAAATGCACACTTAATGCTACTTTTTATGTATTATTTAGTGACTTTCAATGGTATGTGTTTAATATTTTTGCTACTTACAAATTAGGCAAAAGAGATGTAAATAATTTTGAAAAAGAAGAAAACAGTGTAAAATGCAACTTTTTATAGGTACTCCATTTCAGCGTGTTCAACATCATCCTAAAATGCCAGATTTTCCCACACAAATAACAAGGTGTTTATGTACTATTTAAGGACAGAAGGTGTGTGCCCATTCAATAAGCATGTTTTTGCCAGGTAGTAAATATGTTCCATATCTGTATTTATCATTGCATTTCAGATGGGAACTAGAAAACTGGAGAGAAAAATGTAATGAAACTGCTGCTGTAAATTATTTCTTTTAGCATGTATTCAGTTGCTAAATACATATTTCTTCAAAATATTTGAATTCAGATGTCTTTACTGTTCCCTCTAGCATATAATGTCAAGGTATATAAGTTTAGAAAATGTTGAGAACCAGTCAAATTGCTACATAATCAGCTAGCAGATTTCTTCACTGTCATCTGTAAACTGGGTTCTATATTTATGGTAATGATGTGAATTCTTATGTCCTTTAAATTAAACTATTTTAATGTCATATCTAAAAAGGAAATATGGGGATAAAATTCTATAATGTGTCATTGTAACCAATTTGGTTTCATTCAGGATCTACAAAGATTACGGATCATTGTTACTGAAATCATCTATCCTGAAGGCCATAAGCAAGCATTAATATGTAGTGAATAGTGTAACATTTTAAAATCTGTTTTATTCATTTTTTAAATTAGCTTTAACTTTAATAGAAATCTATCAAGTTCCATGGCTTCAAAAACAGATTTAAATCATCTATTGAGTTGTAAGCTTTTAAATATAAATTGGCCTGATGCCAAAGATATCCATGCTTTTTTTTATTTTAATTTTGTAATAATTATTTAAAGGTAACGTTAATATTTACAAAATACATGTTTCAAGAAGAAAACATTATTTTTCAAAAAGTCTCCAAAATTCTATTAATTTATTTGATTCGTAACAATTTTCTTACACTAGTTAATTAAAGAAACATACTTTATTAAGTTAATATATTAAGAGGATCTATAAATGGAAAAGAGAATGAAGCCACAGAAATGGTGCTTGCCAATTTTGTAGTCAACCTGACCAAAGAATAGAACTTGGTTTTCATTTCAAACATGCAAGTACACACAGGAAGGGGCAGAGGTAGCAAACTGAACCA